GTCTTCTCCACAAAGCGACACACACTTAAACCAAAACAAAAGGTGAAAGAAAAACAGTCCAGGATTAAATAAGAGACATTGCCCAGTATGTTGAAAAAAACGGCGCAAGACGACGAAAAGCTTGCGAGAGCGCGGTGGCTGGCTGCTCTAAAGAATCCCTGTGTGTTTTAGCTTCTTTATGCCCATCTGTCTCCGCTACACACACCACAAAAGCATTATTATACCCGAGACTACAGGGGACCCCCATATCGCAAGTGTTACCCCCCAAAACACACGGCAAACATCCACTCTGACTCTAGCTAGCTGCACATCCTGTCCACACAAATCTATTTACCCAAAAGATGATCGCCGCGGCCGTAAAAAAAAAAAAAAAAAAAAAAAAAAAAAAAATTGAGACGTCCCGTATGAATATTCTGCCGGGCATTCCATTCCACCCCCCCTTTGCCCCATTCACAGTGTCCCCTAAATCCGCCCATTCAGTAGCGCAGGCCCTGATCTCCACATGAAATGATAGCTCCACCACAGGCCTCTAAAGCGCCCATATGCCAGGCAGAGGCCGGGCTGGGAAAGCACATAATTGATCAGTGAAGTCCGGACACTGCCCCCCCACGACGCACGCAAGACTGGTTTCATATGGAGGGTGATTGGACGGCGGGGCGCGGTGAAGAGCAAAAAAAATAAATGCAAAAAGCGCTAGTAATATTTATTTTTTCACTTACATGGAGATCGTCGGAGGGTGGGTTTGTACGTGTCTGGTTCACGATATTTGCGACTTGCAGTATAAAAACAAAAAAACAATTGTGAGACTGTGAAATCCAAAGAGACGATTAAAAGTTCTTGGTTCAGACTGATTGTAGAAAGAAGCTGTTAGCATGTTAGCGTATCCAGATGTCCTGCATCTCTGCGAACGATGTCTTCTGCCAGAGGGAAGAAGCTGGAACATGGCTTTTCCAGGGGCCAGAGGAATCATTGATTATGACACAGATATATGAAGAGCTGAGATCCATTTCAAATCACTTGCAGTAAAAGTTATAAACGTCTAGCTTGTCTGACATAGTGAAAAAATAGCACATTTTTTCAGAAAGTGAGTTTGGTGGACATACCAGATCGTGAAAGCCAGACCTCTGAAGCTAAGCAGGGCAAGATCTGGGTAGTACTGTGATGGGAGACCAGGTGGCACATGGTGTTCAGTGGGGCGGCTGCGGCTGTAAAGTGCCAAACTGCCATTGTGTCTTTAGGCAAGACACTTCACCCCCAATGTCTAGAATGAGTCTGGTGTGTGTGAATAGTTGGTAGTGGGAGGGGTCGATGGCATAGACTGGTTGCCTCGCTTCTGTCAGTGTGCCCCAGGGCAGCTGCAGGAACGTTTCATCACCACCGTGTAAGGAGGGAAAGAATGACATGTGAAGCGTCTTTTAGCGCAGTATAAAAACTGCATTATTGTGTGAGCGATTCCAACAGACTTGTAAACACAGCGTGCACGTCTGGGCTCGTACACGTGTATTCTGCGTTCTCTCATGAGCAGGAGAGGAACGTGCATTTGCATTTTTAGTTTCTTTTTTGTGGAGAGACCGGATCTTCCCTACAATTCGGTAAAATCACCCACACACTTAAGTTTTTATTTTGTTTTTAAGATTCAGTGTGAAGGCGCTAAAAAGCAGTGATAAGTCATGACTCAAAATCATTCAGGATCATGTCGAACAGCCGTTTGTCGCCCTCTGCTGGCCGCCACATGTATAATTACTCATATTTATAATTCAGATCTGTTGCTCAGAGGAAGATTCAGTGTTGTGGTCAGAATAATACCGTCTCTGTATGATTAGAATAGATAAGTTTACAGCAGCAGCAGTGGATTAAAAGGAAAATGACGGTGCATGAATCAAAATATAATCCTGTAATGTTTTGGTGCAAAGAAGAAATGACTCAAAAGACAAAATCTCACAAATGTTGATTTAGTATTTTCGAAAAAAGCAGCTGTTCAAACATGATAAAAACTACAAAAATATTAACAATTTAAGACAAAAATTACACGTTATTATCTACAACAATCTGAAAAACATTCCATTATTGTTATTGATGTAAAACCGTTAAAACCAGGAATGATTGTAAGTTGTCATTTCAGTTTCAGAGAGGTGAAAATTGTGCATCAGATTAAAAACAAAATTAAATTATTACGTTGAAACGACACAGACATTGGAAAAGTACCGTTCCCTTCTTTTAGATCAAATAAAACACTGGGAAAGTCGTTTTAATCAAAAGGCAACGAGGCAAAGTTAAAACATCCAACCACAAAAAATCCATCATCATTTTAACACCGGAACTCCCAGAGCAGTCCCAGAGCAGTCCCAGAGCAGTCCCAGAGCAGTCCCAGAGCAGTCCCAGAGCAGTCCCAGAGCAGTCCCAGAGCAGTCCCAGAGCAGTCCCAGAGCAGTCCATGTGACGGCTTTTCATTTTGGACGTGTATTTACTCTTGTGTCCGTTTTTAGTCAAAACGTGACTTTTTATGATTCTATGGGTCGTTTATTTCTATGTCATTTTGTTTATGAAATTATCTTGATCCCAGACTGGTCCTAGACTGGTCCTGGCCTGGTCCTAGGCTGGTACTGGATTGGTCTTGGACTGGTCTTGGACTGGTCTTGGGCTGGTCCAAGGCTTGCCCCAGACTGGTCCAAGACTGGTCCAAGACTGGTCCTGGATTGGTCTCGGGCTGGTCCTAGACTGGTCCTGGATTGGTCTCGGACTGGTCTTGGGCTGGTCCAAGACTGGTCCAAGACTGGTCCTGGACTGGTCCTGGACTGGTCCTGGACTGGTCCTGGATTGGTCTCGGGCTGGTCCTAAACTGGTCCTGGATTGGTCTTGGACAGGTCTTGGGCTGGTCCAAGGCTTGCCCCAGACTGGTCCAAGACTGGTCCAAGACTGGTCCTAGACTGGTCCTGGATTGGTCTCGGGCTGGTCCTAGACTGGTCCTGGATTGGTCTCGGACTGGTCTTGGGCTGGTCCAAGACTGGTCCTGGACTGGTCCTGGACTGGTCCTGGACTGGTCCTGGACTGGTCCTGGACTGGTCCTGGACTGGTCCTGGACTGGTCCTGGACTGGTCCTGGACTGGTCCTGGACTGGTCTCGGGCTGGTCCAAGGCTTGCCCCAGAGTGGTCCAAGGCTGGTCCAAGACTGTTCCTAGGCTGTTCCTAGACTGGTCCAGAGAAATCTCAACTTGGAGAAAGTGCTAGTTACCATAGCAACACAGTTTACTTGCGTCAGTTAGCTAGTAAAAGCAGAATGACTGCTGTGGGAGTCTTAGCATGAACGATCTGTCTGAAATGTAAATATTAAAAACTTCATACACAACATTTTCTCAGGTTAAACAACGGACGATTTTACAGACACTTCAGTAGTGAGAGAAATATCACACACACACGACCAGGAAAATGCTCAGACAGATGTTTAAACTTATGATTGTTAATTTTGGCACAGCTATGTTTTTTTTTTGGCGATAGCGCGAGACTCCACTTGATGCTAATTCATGCAGTTTGGGCTTTTGATGTAGATTTATGGTTAATTGTGCCTTCTTCTCTATCCTACATCCTCTTGTCTATTCTCATTCCAATCATATTCATTCATATGTGATAAAAGTCTTTCTCGTGGACAGTTGTGTGTGTGTGTGTGTGTGTAATGGTGTGTTATTGTGTGTATCTGGCCTCTTGGTGTGTGGTAGCAGCTCGTGGTTATTGACTGGCAGTGTGTTCTCGGCACAAACGGCTCCAGTGCTTTTCTCATTTTTAATAAAAACATAGCAGCAATGACTCAATACTGACCTGGGAATAATATATATGTTTTTACCGTATTTGATCAATGAAAAGATAACGGCTGCGTCCAAAAGTCCACTCTACTCTCCCTGGTACAAAGCTGGTACAAAGCTGGTACAAAGCTGGTACAAACCTGGTACAAACCTGGTACAAACCTGGTACAAACCTGGTACAAACCTGGTACAAACCTGGTACAAACCTGGACACTGTGATCTCTGGTCACACTGAAATATATAAAATCTTGTTAGATTAATTCACTAATAATAACAAAATATGCTTTTTAAAAATGTTTTTGTCACTTGAATGTAGTTTGTCGTTTAAGATTATTTTACTAGTTTTAAGATAATACTTCATAATATTATTAGACAGACAACATTTCTTGGTTGGATAATAAAAATAAGTAAATATGTTCTATGTTCTTGTGTTCTTGTTCTATTGACAGATATTTGTTCATATTTTAAGCAGTGTATTACCTATGTTCATATATATTTTTTTCTCATTATTTTCCAAGAGACTTTTTCCAGAGCAGGGTTGTGAACTGAATGTCCAGGATGTAGCCAGAGACCAGAGGGAGACCAGCTTTGGAGACCACAGGATTTCATCTCCCCCTTTGACAGATTAGGGTTCATTTAAACTGGACCAATTCTGTGTTCATTTCAATAACTTCTGTATTTTCTCATTCTAAAGGAGACATTTCTTTTATCTTTTCAAAACAAGATCATTTTGTTTTGTTCTGTTGTTAAATCTAGCTTTAAACGCAGTCAAAATGTGCTCAAATTATGATACATTTTGCCAAATTTGAGCAATTTCTTTTACTTATTTTTCATTACTTTTTGCAGTGTAGGACCTTCCGGGCATTCACACTGCAAAAACTGATTCAATATGTCGCAATTTTGTCTCATTTCAAGAACTGTTGCATGAAAAATCTCCCTAAGAATGAGAAAATTAAGGATCTTTTCAAAACAAGATCATTTTTATTTGTCCCGTTGGAAAATCTTGTTTTTAAGGCAGTCAGAATGTGCTCAAATTAACATATGTTTGGCCCAATTTTGACTTATTTTTCATCACTTTTGTGCAGTGTAGGAACCTTCATTCAGACACATGCTGTGAGTGGGGAATGTGGATTTTGGGACACAGCCGTGGTCACAGATGTCTCTACAGTGTTGTTGGTCACGGCTCCTGGACCTCGTGGAGCTTCAGAGGGCGGCAGAGCTGTGCGTGTGGCCCCCAGCGTAGAGGACGGTCCCGGGACGAGGGGGCCAGTCCGGGTCGTCCTGCAGCTCCAGGGCCAGCTGCCGGTACCGGAGCCTGGAGGAACGTCTGTGTCGACAGAAGAGCCACGAGAGCAGGGACGGGCCCCAGCGGCCGTTGGCCTCCTGCGGAACAAGAGCACGGAGTCAAAGGGCCCCTCAACCCCGAGTAGACCTGAGACACACTTCATCTTGTGCTATCCTCAAACTGACTCACCACAGTGATTAAAAAATAACCTAAATCATTTATTTTTCAAGCTGAATTTTAATGTTTTTTTCTAACTTGACCATCCCTGGGTTATTTAGACCTGTACACTGCAAAAAGAGTAAAATGTGAGATAATAATTGCTGAAATCAAGTGGTTTTTATCTTAAAGGAGCTATACCCATTTTTGCGGGTTTTTTTTCAGTTTGAGTGTTTAGCCCCGCCCCCCAACTCGCTCACAGGCTTCTCATTTCTCCTACGCTCTCATCCCACGGAGCCCATCCATCCATTTTCTTCCCCTTAATCCATTTCTGGGTCGGGTGGTGGCAGTCAGAGTTGCACCCAGTCCACAGAGCACCAGCCCCTCACTGATCCTCCTGCAGGTGGTGAGTCCACAGGAGCTGAGATCTTACAGCGGGAGCTTCAGGCAAAGTGGGGTTAAGTGTCTTGCCCAAGGACACAACGACAGCAGTCATCAGAGGGAGTCGTGAAGTAGGTCTTATGGTGGGCTCGAACCCACAACCTTCAGGCTCAAAGGCCAATGCTCTACCAACTGAGCCACTGCCCCCCACGGAGCCATCTAGTTTTATTTGCGATCTGATACATATGCTAACCTTAGCATTAGCGTAACTTCTTGTAACTTGTACAACAATCACTGATTAAATGGTACAAAAGCAACGCACTGCTAACAAAATATATAACCGAAAGATTACTGCAAGTTCCGCGTCCGAGCGTCGATAGTCCGAGCACAGATAGTCCGAGCACAGATAGTTCGAGCACAGATAGTCCGAGTATAGATAGTCCGAGCCTAGATAGTCCGAGCGTAGATAGTCCGAGCATAAATAGTCCGAGCGCAGATAGTCCGAGCGCAGATAGTCCGAGCATAGATAGTCCGAGGCGGTCCCGCAGGTCTCTCTCATAGACAAGTCTCTCCAGAGGATACGATGTAAGCTAGCTCTGTTCAGGGCTTGATTTCTTCTTTGATCATTTTCTTGCTTTAGTTCCCTCTTCTCTTCCTCACTGTTGTGTGGTTTGGGCTGTTTTGCTGTGTCTGCAGTTACAGCCAGAGGAGTTATAGCCACTTATGCTAACATGCTACTGTGTTTAGCAGCGCTGTAGAGGCTAGAGGACGCAGCCTTGTCTGTGATTGGAGGAGAGCGGGCGTCACGCCAAAGTCTCTACTCAGCACTTTTTACGCCTGAATTCATACACAGCTGAATCAATGAGCTCAAGTTTTACATTAAATTGACGTATGTAAATTGGGTATAGCTTCTTTAATTTGACTGCATTCTAACAAACAGCAGAGTTAAAAAGGCAAACTTTATGATGAGTGAAGACAACATGCAGTGAAGGCTCTCTTAAAGCTGGGGTGTGTAACTTTCAAACCACAACAAATCCATAAATGAAAAAAATATGTTGAATTAGTTTGCTTCCATCTCTCCAGCACCCATTCGCTCCAACACCGCCAGACAAACAGAAAATGATCATTGTTATGGAGTATTTTGATTTGTGTCTAGCAGCTTAATAGCTTCTCTATCAACATGTATTATTTATGACACTAAAAGCGAGGAACCCCAGCTTTACAGAGAGAGAGCAGAGCGCGTCCCACCTGCGGCTCGCCAGCAGAGGGCGACGTCACGGCCGGACTGTGATCGTCTCTGAAAAAGGTTCTCCGCATCACGACGTCTAGGACCAAAGTCTGCGGGAGATTCCGACCGAGATCAAGATCACAGGTGAGAGATTGGGTTTGGCACAAAAACACACCAATCAAAAATAAGAATTATCCAGTTCAATGAAACGGAAGAAGAAGCTGAAAAGAACGGGAGAATTCAGAAGGAAAAGAGGAGAAAGACTTGAGACACAAACCTCCAGCAGAAAGGAGAGCGCCGTGTTTGAAATGATGATGACCACCACCGTGAGCCTCCAATCCTGAGGGACGCACACAATCTGGCAACACACACACACAATGGGGAGAGCTTGTGTGTTTGTGTGAGAAGAAATGATTGTCCTTCATGTGATAATTATACATTACATTAAGGTCACATTTTGTATAATCAAATGTTTTGTATTTTATGTCTTGTTTAAGTCAAATATTTAGCAAATATTTGACTTAAACAAGACAGTTGTAATCCTGTCAATATGACGTACAGTTCAAGGATCTCTGGTCTTTCTGTCTGTCCCTCTCTGGTCTCTCCCTCTCTGGTCTCTCCCTCTCTGGTCTCTCCCTCTCTGGTCTCTCCCTCTCTGGTCTCTCCCTCTCTGGTCTCTCCCTCTCTGGTCTCTCCCTCTCTGGTCTCTCCCTCTCTGGTCTCTCTCTCTCTGGTCTCTCTCTCTGGTCTCTCTCTCTGGTCTCTCTCTCTGGTCTCTCTCTCTGGTCTCTCTCTCTGGTCTCTCTCTCTGGTCTCTCTCTCTGGTCTCTCTCTCTGGTCTCTCTCTCTCTGGTCTCTCTCTCTCTGCTCTCTCTCTCTGGTCTCTCTCTCTCTGGTCTCTCTCTCTCTGGTCTCTCTCTCTCTGGTCTCTCTCTCTCTGGTTTCTCTCTCTCTGGTCGACTTTGGGCTCACCTCCAGAAACTTGTCAATAGCTGGAAGAGGGAAGAGGAGGATGAGGAGGAGGAAGGAGTACAGGCCGATGCAGGACAACATGAAGGGCCCTGAGGAGAGGAAACATCGCATTTAGTTGTTGATTTTATGGCTCTGATAATTTTACAATGACTACAGAATTAAATAAAAATATGTTTAAAGTATTTTCAATAAAAAAAACCCAGTGTGAAACAAGTCCTCACTAGGAAGAAGTTCAACAGGGGCCTCACTTCAGCTTTGTTTTGGGCAAATATAAAGAAAAAACCATGTTCACTGCCTGTAACTCTCTGTGCTACCACCAGAGGGAGGAGTTGAATTTTGTATTTTTATTTTTTATTTGAAAATGACCAGCTTCAAACACAGTCTCGCAAATGTAAAGAACAGAATATCACTAGAGAAAGTTCCAAAAATAATTTATGGGCAACACAGACAGAGTATGATGTCATAGTGGTCCAATGACATCATATTATCACAGGACTGAGAGTGAGGAGCTTTGAGACAGAAGGGGCGGGGCTACACATTTATGTCTGATCTTTCTGATGTTAGCATGGATAAAAAAGGGATAAAAACCACTTCATTTGTTTTTGATTAGGAAATGATATTGTAACATGAATAAAATCTCAACAAAGTCAATCAAAGATATAATTAATGAATGAAATGAGTAGGATGTAGAGTCCAGAGCAGAGGCAGGTCCTCACAGTTCTTATAGCTGGGCTGCCTGAAGGGTTTTCCTTTGGAGAAGACGATGGCCACCGCCAGATACTGGAACGAAGACACGTAGAAGAGCGTGGTGTTCTCGTAGTTGCGGATGTTCTTGATGTCGACGTAGGAGCTGTTCAGGCTGAAGGTCCGGCTCACGTTGCAGGCGCTGGACCCAGACAGGGAAGAGCTTTTTAACAACATGACAGACAACGTACAATACAAGCTTTGGTCTGTATGTCTCTGTGCTGCCAAAGGATGAAGACCTCAATGTGGGAACACCTCTGAGTTTTTCAGAGTTGTTCTTTGTGGATGCAGGAGGGTCTAAGGACAGTGGTGATGATCCAGGACAATCCATTCTCAATGACATTGGTCATCTGCCTCTTATGGATCGATGGCACCGGTTCAGACTGGCCACTTCAATAGGACCCAACATCTCACATTTTAAAAGAAGGAGCAGTGTGTAAAAATGTGGCCGAAATGTAGCTCGAGTCCTGAGTAGAACCAGGAACTACCAGGTTAATAATCTCAATAATAATATTAATAATAATAATAATGGAAAATCTTTTTAGGGGCCACTAACATTTGTTCTGTGGTCTGGATTTGGCCCACGAGCCTGAGGTTGAAACCCTGCTGACTTGGACCGGGAGAACACTCACTTGGACCGGGACCGGGAGAACACTCACTTGGACCGGGAGAACACTCACTTGGACCGGGACCGGGAGAACACTCACTTGGACCGGGAGAACACTCACTTGGAACGGGAGAACACCCACTTGGACCGGGAGAACACCCACTTGGACCGGGAGAACACCCACTTGGACCGGGAGAACACTCACTTGGAACGGGAGAACACTCACTTGGACCGGGAGAACACTCACTTGGACCGGGACCGGGAGAACACCCACTTGGACCGGGAGAACACTCACTTGGAACGGGAGAACACTCACTTGGACCGGGACCGGGAGAACACTCACTTGGACCGGGACCGGGAGAACACTCACTTGGACCGGGACCGGGAGAACACTCACTTGGACCGGGACCGGGAGAACACCCACTTGGACCGGGAGAACACCCACTTGGACCGGGAGAACACCCACTTGGACCGGGAGAACACCCACTTGGACCGGGAGAACACCCACTTGGACCGGGAGAACACCCACTTGGACCGGGAGAACACTCACTTGGACCGGGAGAACACTCACTTGGACCGGGAGAACACTCACTTGGACCGGGAGAACACTCACTTGGACCGGGAGAACACCCACTTGGACCGGGAGAACACTCACTTGGACCGGGAGAACACCCACTTGGACCGGGAGAGCACCGACTTGGAGAGCACCGACTTGGACCGGGAGAACACTCACTTGGACCGGGAGAACACTCACTTGGACCGGGAGAACACTCACTTGGACCGGGAGAACACTCACTTGGACCGACTTGGACCGGGAGAACACTCACTTGGACCGACTTGGACCGGGAGAACACTCACTTGGACCGACTTGGACCGGGAGAACCCTCACTTGGACCGGGAGAACCCTCACTTGGACCGGGAGAACACCCACTTGGACCGGGAGAACACTCACTTGGACCGGGAGAACACTCACTTGGACCGGGAGAACCCTCACTTGGACCGGGAGAACCCTCACTTGGACCGGGAGAGCACTCACTTGGACCGGGAGAACACTCACTTGGACCGGGAGAGCACTCACTTGGACCGGGAGAACCCTCACTTGGACCGGGAGAACACCCACTTGGACCGGGAGAGCACCCACTTGGACCGGGAGAGCACCCACTTGGACCGGGAGAGCACCCACTTGGACCGGGAGAGCACCCACTTGGACCGGGAGAGCACCCACTTGGACCGGGAGAGCACCCACTTGGACCGGGAGAGCACCCACTTGGACCGGGAGAGAACTCACTTGGACCGGGAGAACACCCACTTGGACTGGGAGAACCCTCACTTGGACCGGGAGAACCCTCACTTGGACCGGGAGAACACCCACTTGGACCGGGAGAACACCCACTTGGACCGGGAGAACACCCACTTGGACCGGGAGAACACCCACTTGGACCAGGAGAGCACCCACTTGGACCGGGAGAGCACCCACTTGGACCGGAAGAGCACCCACTTGGACCGGGAGAGCACTCACTTGGACCGGGAGAGCACTCACTTGGACCAGGAGAGCACTCACTTGGATTGGGGCGTCCACTTCTCGTACCAGCTCTGCTCCCGGACCAGCAGGAAGGCCAGGAGCTGGAAGAGCAGAGAGGTCAGGATCTGCGTGAGCACGGAAAACAGCAGGGGCCCCGAGATCAGGCTGGACGGGGGCCGCCGAGGAACCAGCTGCTCCCAGGCCGGGTTCAGACTCACTGCACAGACAGAGACAGAGCCGTGTATGTGCTCTCCCAAACTCTAGAGTTACTTCATCGACTCATCGTTCAACAAGTGACGGAAGGAACGATACGATTTGAGCGTTTGTATGTTTTATTCTATTTTTAATACAGTTTTAGCTCAAGGGAATTGGCTGCATATTTATTTGAGTGCATTGTTATAGAGTTATATGGGAATTAGTTTAAATATGATTGTTTATTGTCAATGACCATAACTACGACTGGAGCTAGAGGCCAGTGAGAGACCAGAGAGAGACCAGAGAGAGACCAGAGAGAGACCAGAGAGAGAGACCAGAGAGAGACCAGAGAGAGAGACCAGAGAGAGACCAGAGACACCATAGAGACCAGAGAGAGAGACCAGAGAGAGAGACCAGAGAGAGAGACCAGAGAGAGAGACCAGAGAGAGAGACCAGAGAGAGAGACCAGAGAGAGAGACCAGAGAGAGAGACCAGAGAGAGACCAGAGAGAGACCAGAGAGAGACCAGAGAGAGACCAGAGAGAGAGACCAGAGACACCATAGAGAGAGACCAGAGAGAGAGACCAGAGAGAGAGACCAGAGAGAGAGACCAGAGAGAGAGACCAGAGAGAGAGACCAGAACGGGAGAGACCAGCAAGAGACCAGCAAGAGACCATAGAGAGAGAGACCAGAGACCAGAGAGACCTGTATGACTTTGAGTTTGCACATCTGCATTTGAGACTCACTTGTAAAGGCAATGATGAGAATTATGGCAATGTCGATGAAAAGAAACTGGAAATCTCCCAAGTTACTGGGAATCTGCAACAGAAAAATTTACCATCAGAGACAGAGGGTTTGTGATTTGATTGACAGTATCTAAATACATATAAACCATGTACAAATAGTTGGATATACTGAGTTTGAGTACGTTTTTTAATAAAAATGATCATTCCGTTTGTAACCACGGTTCCATTTCATCCCTCCTGACCACCAGAGGGCAGTGCATTGCACTGAATGCCATTTTTATAATGAATGTGTTGGGAACAATCAAATATTTGAGTGGTTTGACAGTTCTGTACCGAGTAGAGCAGAGTGACACTGAGGTATTGGATGATGCTGTAAAGAGCCATGAACTTGAAGACACAGAAGGAGGTGATGAGAGCGGCACGACCCTCTCTGTGGAGAAACACAAACATGAAACATACTGGTCCAACACAACCTGAACCTCCATCACATGCACTGGGCCTTCAGGAGGGGACCAGGAGGACAGAGGACCAGAGGGGCAGAGGACCAGGAGGGCAGAGGACCAGGAGGGCAGAGGACCAGAGGGGCAGAGGACCAGAGGGGCAGGGGACCAGAGGGGCAGAGGACCAGGAGGGGCAGAGGACCAGAGGGGCAGAGGACCAGAGGGGCAGAGGACCAGAGGGGCAGAGGACCAGGAGGGGCAGAGGACCAGAGGGGCAGAGGACCAGGAGGGCAGAGGACCAGAGGGGCAGAGGACCAGAGGGGCAGAGGACCAGAGGAGCAGAGGACCAGGAGGGCAGAGGACCAGAGGACCAGAGGGGCAGAGGACCAGAGGGGCAGAGGACCAGAGGGGAGGTACCTGATGAGGTTGGGGACACAGGAGATGTTGGAGGTGGAGGAGGTGAACGGAGAAGCCACAGACGCCTCGAGCTCAGACAGAGAGATCCCACTATGAGCTCTCTTCAGCGCCTGCACAGATGCACAAAAGATATAGCAGATACAGATGGTTTTGGAGTAAAAAATACAAAATGACAAAGCAAAATTATAAAAAATATAAGAATCGAAACCTGAAAAGTGTGCGATCACTTGTATGCAGAAAACAAAGTATCTTGTGGGACCCCCTTTTGGATTATGACTCTACAAGCTTTGCACTGAAAGTTCTGTGGAGAGCATTTGTGACCAGCAGGTTCCACTTCTACATCATTTCAGTTGGATTAAGACCAGTTTTTATGGTTCATAATATATATATATATTGTACATATATTACATTGTGCAGTTGTAAATATCAAAGCTACTCTGTTTTCATGGCTGTTTGTGACCGCAAGATTGAAAAAAAGGAGGCCCTTGTCATCTAACATGTCTCCGGGGAACACAAGCCTTTTTAGTGTTTTAATCTAGAGTTCATAAAAATAATAATAATGCATTGTTTTATATAGCGCTTTTTTGGACACTCAAAGACGCTTCACATGTCATTATTCATCCACTCCACACACTGTAGCCACAGCTGCCCTGGGGCACACAGACAACCATTCACACACACACAGACTCATTCTAGACAATGTGGGTGAAGTGTCTTGCCAAAGGACACAACAAAAGTTTGGCAATTTACAGCCGGGGCAGCTGTAAATTGCCAAACTTACTGTGGCACCTGGTGTTCTCAGAGGTCTCCCATCACAGCACTAACCAGGCCCTGCCCTGCACAGCTTCAGAGGTCTGGCAGGATCTGGCTTTCATATGCAGGCGTGGCGACAAGTTACCAATCCTTAGGTATATCTTGTTTATTCAGAAAACTTTCTGCCTTAATCCCACCACAATCTCTTTGAGGATACCATATAGTTCCAGTCCATACAAACAGATAAGTTAAGTACTTGCCCCTGTATTGTTAACACTTACATTTTTTATTTATTTGACAGGGACATAGCAAGTAAACTTAGAACATAACAGTCTTTCTTACACTAACATTCACATTGTCAGTATTATCTTAAAAACTTGTCTATATACTCCTATACAAATGATCTCTTTAGTCTCATTTGTGTAAAGTACAGAGGTGTGAGACTCACTCCACAGTCGTTGGCTCCGTCGCCGCACATCCCCACAGTGTAACTGAAAGAAAAGACACAAAAGCCGTTTGAAGCTCTGAACACCAACTTGGAGCCAATCGGAGCCGTTTATTCTTGTCGCAGGCAGAAAAACAGATGTTAGAGAACAAAGGAAAACAAGCTGAGCGGCAAAAACTAACGCAAATAATGTCAGTCTGGAGCGAGAAAAGATTTACACACATTAATTACTGTATCATGGTCCAACTATTAACTAAAATGAACTTGTTGGACGATCAAGAGCACCTGTATATAAGCCACATCAGCTAAAGTTATAAACAGGAAGTAAATGTTGTCCACGTACAGGCTACACTCAAAAGTCCATGAACTTTGATCATACTTTAGACCTGTTCACGTGAAAACAACCCCTGTGTATTTGCCTGCACCTCCTCGTCTCACTCTGCTGTTCACATAAACCCTCCAGGGAGCAGGAATGTGTGGTTTGGAGATCAACAGCTGTATTCAAATGTCTTTCCACACTGTAGGGGGCGCTCTAACGATATAAAAATACATGGCTGCATCACTGTATATGTAGCTAGGGTTTACCAGAGATGGGAAAAAAAAAAGTAGTGGCTCACAGTCCAGACGGTACCGTACACGTTTTGCGATTTCAGACCCATCTATTAGCTTTACGTAGCTTGTTGGATAAGATAACATATGCTTTATTTATCTCACAAAGGAGAAATGTACATGTCACATTTGGCATGGATAGAAACACTCAGATTGTGCAAAAAGGGAGGAAATGTGCAAACATGTTAAATGCAGGATATATTATGTACAATAAAAGAAGTGGCAGATTAAAAGTGGCAATCAGAAATAGTGTCAATATTAGTGCAGGTTTTTTTCAGTCTTATACAGTGACTTAAAGTGACTTATTGTACAGTCTGACAGCGGTGGGGATAAAGGCCCTGCTCCTTCCAACACTGAGGGTGCCTCAGTCTTCCACTGAAGGAGCTCCTCAGCTCCTCCTCAGTCCTGTGCAGTGGGAGGTATTGTTCATGATGGAGGTGGCTTTGGCTAGCACCCTCCTGTCCCTCACCTCCTCCACAGAGTCCAGAGGCCTCCTGTCCCTCACCTCCTCCACAGAGTCCAGGGGCCTCCTGTCCCTCACCTCCTCCACAGAGTCCAGGGGCCTCCTGTCCCTCACCTCCTCCACAGAGTCCAGGGAGCAGCCCAGAGTGGAGCTGGCCCTCCTGACCAGCTTGTTCAGTCTGTTTCTGTCCCGCTCTGTGCTGCCCGGGGCCCAGCACACAGCAGCGTAGTAAATGGCAGAAGCTACCACAGAGTCATAAAAAGTCCTGAGCAGAGGCCTGCTCACTCCGAAGGACCTCAGCCTCCTCAGAAGGAAGAGCCGACTTTGGCCCTTCTTGTGCAGGGCGTTTGTATTATGGGACCAGTCCAGTTTATTGTTGATGTGAGGTTCAAAGATATGCCACACAACTTCAATGTATCTGAAGTATGTGATGTTGTGAGGAAAAGAGAAAGAAGAGAAAGGAATTGAAGCTAAATGAAGGGCTGTCTGCGGCGTTTGCGGTTGTTTTATTGTATTTTTATCTTATTCCACTTTTGTATTCACATGTTTGATCTGAAATGGTCTCAGAAAGAATTTAATGAGGCTCAAAATAAACAGAACAATAACTCACTTGAGGCTCTGCAGCACCTCCACCAGTTGAGTCTTCTGGTCTGGAGACATCCGCGCAAACACTGTGGTGCCTATGGCCAGCTGCAGCGCCCCCCAGTGGACAGAGGGCAACAATACATATGCATGAAGCAGGTGTCACGGTACAATTGTATGTAATGTAATGTTTATGTAATGAAAAACAAAATAAACAAAACATAAAAACAATATCTATGGCTCTATGGTGTAGATGAATCAAAATAACTTTATTCTACTGAGAAGACAACAGACAATAAACTGAGTCTCTGCGACAACTACGGAATTTAATTATATACACAAAATTATCATAAAAAAAAAACAAAAAAAAACGTTTCTTATCAAAACAGAGACGTTTTAGATTGAGTAAATGCAGTAAGCTTCCGCAGTGGGAGGTGCAGTGATGAATCCAGTACAGACCTTGGGGACCAGGTGTGGGAAGTGTTCCATGACCACAGAGAAGGACGGTCCACTCAGAGCAAAGTGGAATCTGTCCTCAGGGTTCAGACCATCACCGCGCTCCTGGGTCATGCTGTTATGATTTGAATGTGAGAAATAAAGCCAGAGCCGGTACGGCTGCAGTTGGAAGAGAGTCTGTCGTGTGTGCTCTCAGAGCTAAATACATTTTACAACATTATCTAGACCTTCTCGGTTACAGTAGTAAGATCATAAACTGTATGATAAGATTGAGATTCCGGTTTACATTTTACTTTGAAAAAAAAGTAAAGTAAAGAAAGTAAAATACAGGTCAGAGTGTGCAAGAGTGTGTATGCAATAAATCCATGGATATATTAAATAGCGACATATTTAAATCTAAATACGGAAATATGACTGCAAGTGGGCGGGGCTCTTGCTGATACTGCGCTGTGATTGGCTGCTGAAGCAAGAAATCTGACACGTGACCCGAAACAAGGGGGGGGGAAACACACACTCCATCGCTTATCAGAGAGACGCGAGGTGAAAACTCCGTTCTTTTCGACACACAGCGAACAAAATGTCGTCTCAAGGTTTGGAATTAAATCAAGACACATTCAGCTGCCCCATCTGTCTGGATCTACTGAAGACTCCCGTCACTATTCCGTGCGGACACAGCTACTGCATGAGCTGTGTGGACACTCACTGGGATGGAGAGGAGGGTAAGAAGAGCTTCAGCTGCCCCCAGTGCAGACAGAGCTTCTGCCAGAGACCTGTACTGGTGAAAAACACCATGTTGGCTGTTTTAATGGAGGGACTGATGAAGATTGAGGTTCCAGTGGCTGCTGTGGCCCCTGCGCCCTCTGCTGTGGTGGCCCCCTGCTCTCCTGCGCAGGGAGATGCCGTGTGCTGTGACCTGTGCTCTGGGGCCAAAGTGAAAGCTGTTAAATCATGTCTCCAGTGTCAGGTCTCTTACTGTGAAGAGCATCTTCAGCCTCATTATCACGTGGCTGCTTTAAAGAAGCACAAACTGGTGGAGCCCATTGAGAACCTGCAGGACTGCATGTGTCCTCGACACAATGAGGTGATGAAGATGTTCTGTCGCACGGATCAGCAGTGTATCTGTTACCTCTGCTCTTTGGAAGAACACAAAGGACACGACACAGTGACTGCTGCAGCAGAGAGAACTGAGAAGCACAGGGAGCTGGAGGCCTGCAGAGAAAACCTCCTCCTGAGCATTAAGAGCAGGGAAAGTACTTTACTCGGCCTCAAAGATGAAATCATTCAAATCGGAAACATAGCTGACACAAGTGTTAAACACTGTGATAACGGTGTCCAGGACTTAATAAATCTAATATGGCTGAGAATGAAAGATGTGAAAACTGAAATCCAATCTCTACAACAGGCTGAGAATCACAGGCTCAGGCAGGTTCAGAACACACTGCAGCAGCAGATCACAGAGATGAAGACCAAATGCTCTGAACTGGACTCACTCTCACACACTGAAGACCATCTCCAGTTTCTACAAAAGTTTAAATCCATCTCTAAAGTCAGTGTTTCTTCAGAGTCCACCTACACCAGAAGGCTCCCTCCACCGTTCATGTGTGTGGCGACATCAGCTCTTAAGGAGTTAAAGGACAAAATAGAAGGAGCCATTCTACTGAAGCCAAACATGATACAGAAGCTAGCAATTTACAAACAAAAGAAGAATCATCAAGAAGAAGCTGTGGTCAAGGCACCATCACAACAAGAGATTCAAAAGCCAGCAAGTAAGGTTTTCAAAACGCTGGATCGTTACAGCGACACTCCTCCGTACAAGGCCATACCACAGAGCGACCCCAAGGAGTGGCCAGAACTCCCCAATCGAGGCAAGATCCCGAACCAAACAGCTTCTATTGCCCCTCATCTTTACAGGACCTTAAGTCAGCCAGTTAAACTGAGCGTTGAGCAGTTAAGGCAATTGGCTCGCCTACTAACATGGGATCCCCGAACCGTGAATGCTCAACTGTCTCTGTCCAAAAAGAATTCCCGTGTCAAACGTCTTCCGTACAGACAGGACTACAGCGACCACACAGCCAGATTCACCGAGGTTCCCCAAGTGCTGAGTAAAGAGTGCTTAAGTGAACGCTGTTACTGGAACATTGGGTTGGAGTTTGAGAACGTGGTCACAGTTGCAGTTGCTTACAAAGACATGAGAAGAAGTGGATCTTGCAACGACTATATCTTCGGAAAGAACAACAAATCGTGGGCTTTGGAGTGCTACAAATCCAGAGCTGTCTTTTGGCACGACGGAAACAAAGTGAACATCCCGAATTTTGGATCGTGTTGCATCTGCGTTTTCCTGGATTACGAAGGTGGTATTTTGTCTTTTTATGAGGGCTTCTACAATAACAGGCTCATGCACACGGTGAAGACCACTTTCACAGGGCCCTTGGTGGCCGGCGTGAGGCTGCATGATGTTACCGACTTGGCAGAGCTTTTCTACGCCCTTTGAAAGTCGCCTCACATCACCAATGATGTATATTTTTTATGATTTAATGATTCCTAATACTGTTTGTGTCAATGCTCTCAAATAAACCAATCTCACTCATTTAATCTGTGTGATCTGTGTGTTTGTTTTGACTTTCATTACTGCAAAGTGAGATATGTCAGGACTTATTTGTTGATGTTGATAATTGGCAGCATAAAATATCTATCTTTAACATAATAAAAAAGTATAAAATCTTTACATTTGGCTAAAAAGAAGCAAGTAAGTTAAATGTATCTGATTATTGATTGAATACTTTATTGTGAGCCATTCAAAATTGTACATTGGCAACAACATGAAGATCAAAACAAAGAGGTACATGGAGGATCTGTACAACATATATATGGGAAGAGTTATTGAAATTGAAAGTTACTGAATTTTTTTTAACCTTCCGTAGACGTAAACATGCTGAGAAGGTTTTATGGCTCATATAATTCCACAATCATTTAAATGAAAATGTGAAATATTTCTACTCAAACAACCAAATGTGTTATGAGTCGTCTCTATAAAGATCTTCTCTCGGGGCATCACTAGAGATTTGTTTTGTTTACATGTATAAATTAATAAATAAATAAAAGATTTCGTAAAATCAGAGTTGTAAATTGTAAGGGATTACACATTTTTTTTAAAAAACTTCTTCCCACTTCTCTTTTGGACATCGATTGTTTATTTATTTCCCTTAATCAATCAATAATTACATTGCTTTTGTTTTTCTCATATCAAATATCCAAAAAAACATTCATTAATTCATTCATAGTGGCTCTTCCCCTAATATTTTGTTGTTGTCATAGTTTCAACAGTTTTTCCCAAATCTGGACTGTATAGATCAGGCGTGACCAAATCTGGCCCCTGAGACCATTTCCAGTGGCCCCTCAGATACTATACTATATTAAATGACTATATTAAGTTGCAGCATTGATGGTAATAGGCTACAATGACATTTTATATATTACTTATTTTTCTATCTAAATTTCTCAAGAAAACAACTATAGTATTTAATGTAATAAGAAATATTGATAATCAGAAGTTGTTTTGTTAAATATATATATATATATATATATATATATATATATTGCGTGTCCTTGTTTACATCTCTTAATATTTGGTTTAGTTTTGGTTCAGTCCACAATAACTGAACTCATTTTAATTGGAAATGAATATGCAATCTAACAAGTACATTATAAAGATAGATATTACTTTGTTGATCCCCATAAAAGTCAGGAGTCCAGAAAGACATCCAGCCACACAAACAAATAAACAATAGAAAAACATAATCTAGACCTTCTCGGTTACATTGGTGGCAGCGGTGGTTCTTTTTTTTTTTTTTGCCCATCCAGAAATGTTTTTCTGTTGCTTAATCAGCGTTTATTTTGCAGTTAACAAGTTAGCTTGTTGTGTGTTTTTTGTTTTTGTTTATTATGGCCCTGGTTTGAGGCAGGTTCTGAGTTATTTTATGAGCCGAGGACGTTTCTTATGAAGGGGGGGACATATGTAACATACTGTTTAGGATTTTACATCAGGCAGTTAAGAGGCCACCCTGGGTCATGCTGTTATGATTTGAATGTGAGAAATAAAGCCAGAGCCGGTACGGCTGCAGTTGGAAGAGAGTCTGTCGTGTGTGCTCTCAGAGCTAAATACATTTTACAACATTATCTAGACCTTCTCGGTTACAGTAGTAAGATCATAAACTGTATGATAAGATTGAGATTCCGGTTTACATTTTACTTTGAAAAAAAGTAAAGTAAAGAAAGTAAAATACAGGTCAGAGTGTGCAAGAGTGTGTATGCAATAAATCCATGGATATATTAAATAGCGACATATTTAAATCTAAATACGGAAATATGACTGCAAGTGGGCGGGGCTCTTGCTGATACTGCGCTGTGATTGGCTGCTGAAGCAAGAAATCTGACACGTGACCCGAAACAAGGGGGGGGGGGAAACACACACTCCATCGCTTATCAGAGAGACGCGAGGTGAAAACTCCGTTCTTTTCGACACACAGCGAACAAAATGTCGTCTCAAGGTTTGGAATTAAATCAAGACACATTCAGCTGCCCCATCTGTCTGGATCTACTGAAGACCCCCGTCACTATTCCGTGCGGACACAGCTACTGCATGAGCTGTGTGGACACTCACTGGGATGGAGAGGAGGGTAAGAAGAGCTTCAGCTGCCCCCAGTGCAGACAGAGCTTCTGCCAGAGACCTGTACTGGTGAAAAACACCATGTTGGCTGTTTTAATGGAGGGACTGATGAAGATTGAGGTTCCAGTGGCTGCTGTGGCCCCTGCGCCCTCTGCTGTGGTGGCCCCCTGCTCCCCTGCGCAGGGAGATGCCGTGTGCTGTGACCTGTGCTCTGGGGCCAAAGTGAAAGCTGTTAAATCATGTCTCCAGTGTCAGGTCTCTTACTGTGAAGAGCATCTTCAGCCTCATTATCACGTGGCTGCTTTAAAGAAGCACAAACTGGTGGAGCCCATTGAGAACCTGCAGGACTGCATGTGTCCTCGACACAATGAGGTGATGAAGATGTTCTGTCGCACGGATCAGCAGTGTATCTGTTACCTCTGCTCTTTGGAAGAACACAAAGGACACG